GATTTATTTAAATTTGAAAAATCCCAAACAAATATTTTGGCTTGAAAATGAATATTTTTTAACCGAATTCGAGCCTCAATAGAAAGGTTCTTAGCTTGTTTAATTCCTGCAGCTTAAAATAAAATCGCTACAATTTATACGTGAGCAAAATTCGTCTACAATGCAAAAATAAAATGGCAGAGGACACGGTATAGGGTAAGCTATTCAGTATCTCTCTAGAGGTCCAGGCAATTTGCAAGAATTAGGACAGCAAATAAGTAGAAAATATTTGGCAACTTACAGCTAAAAAATGCACATTATTTTCTGTTAATTATTCATTTGGAAATTTGACCAATAATAGGAAATTATTCTTTAAAAATGTCGACGGTATTCTTTCATGCATATAAAGTAATAAAAGATTAAATTCTAGATGTGGTTAAGCATTCTGTAAATAAATTTAAAATGATAGAGATAACGACCTTTATTATTTTTATTTTCATTTATAAATTTTAATCTCAAGTAACTTATGCTTGCAATTATACTTACATCTTATTGGCTAAATCTTCATTTTATGAAATTCGAGGAATGATTTAATTTTTGCCATGTCTCATAATTATTTACTTTTGTTCTACCTAGATATTTTATCTGATTTTAATTATGAGATAGGCGATTGAATTCTGATCCATATTTTGATTTTGAATCATTCTATGTAATATAATAATGTTCATCATTCACAAGAAATAGTCAGTCTATATATTTAAGATCTAATCCAAGCTTACAACTATAACCATTATTTAATATTAATTTAAAATTTAAATCACAATTATAACACATAAAAAGTATAGCCTGTGCAGAATACAAAACATAATTATTATATCTTAAAATCATGTTTCTTAGTGAGTATTATTATAGTGCTAGTTAAAATAATGCTTATAGTTATAACAAAGTTTATTAATCACGACAGTTGACTTTGATTATTTTTTTAAGAGCAACAGTTGAATTATGTTGAATGTTATATTGCTTTTATATCATACAAGTTAGTGATAGCACGACGTTTCAAATAATTCATTTCTTACATAGTAATTGGTTTTGATTTGCCTTAACTAGTGAAATGGAATAAAGATTTTATCGTAATCATACCCTGCTAGGTGGCTCAGATACATATTTAGCAAATTATATATAAGTGTAACAATAAGAAATAAAGAAATTTATTGGGGGAGTGATCAAAATATATTTTCCTGTCATACGTTTCCGATATATGTAGTTTACTGAACAAACACTAATTCTTGAATAAAACCTAGAAAATCTATGTCAATAAAGAGATTCAATAAAGCTTAGGTTTTCCCAAAATGAGATATATAGGGTACAAAACGCCATTTAAGTTCACGTAGAATTGACTCTTAAAAAGCTACAATATCTATGCTTCACAAAGGTTTTGACTTTTCATAGTTCTAATCAACCCTATTCAGCGGAATTTAATAGCAAGTAGTAAGTTTCGTGGCAACGTTGACAATCCTCTTTACATGCATCAGAGCAATAGGTCAACACACAGTGAAAATTCTTTTGTTATAACCATTAAATATAGGAGTGTTTGGCTTGAAACCAGAAGTTTGATTGCATTTATTTCATTATCAAATGTAATTCTATTAATAAATATGGCTTAAAAGCAAAAATGCATTATATTTATTTTTCAATGCCAAAAATAAAATTCAAAGAATATTTCCCTAACATTTTCCATACTAAAATTCAATAAATTCAAAAGTGCATACGAATTATTTTCCAAGTAAGTGACTGAATTCATTATAACACTTAGAAATACCTTTATCTTACACTTTTAAAACCAAGTATAGTTAGCTAAATAAAAATTATTTCATCATAAGGGCAAATCAATTAATTCTTTGCAAGACTACTTGAATCTAGTATATTTTTTAGATCTTAAACGATGAAATTGGTTATATGTTTAAGATAGTATATGCAAAGAAAAGAGGATCCCACTGTTTCGTAATTGTGAATCTTAATTCCATTTCGAGTGAAAGCGTTTGGTGAAGAGATTTGAAGATCGATTCCGCAAGAAGACGACGGCGGATTCCTCTTGACCAGCTGTCGATTGGCTATATATCAGCAACATTCATGTTTACGATGTTTCCGAGGTAATCTCTTTCGAATTCGGTTAAAACGTGTTAAGCTTTCGTCTGTCATATGACGAACATCATTAGAGCAAGGTACCGTAGTCGCAACCAAATTCAAGCTAACTAGTCAAGAAAGCTTACCGGTAAATCCCTAAAAAGCTGTATATTTTTGGGCTCTTTGATCAGGTATAAAGTGATTTAGTTATTCACGATCATATTTTAACCTAGAATACTGGGAGTATGTCTATCTCTGTATGTGTATGTGTCTATTTGTTTTCGCTTATGCACAAAACCAGCAGTGATGGCTCAGAGTAATTAGGACAATCAAAGTAACGTCTGTTCTCGACCATCAATGTTTAATGAACATTATCTCCCCCTTTCTACATACATGTAGCTAATAGCCAAAATGGGAGCCAAGTATCAAAGGTAAAGTATCTGCCGCTCATGGATAGATTAAGAAACGTAAGGATTGAGCTTTTGCTCAGATTTGCTTCCCAATAATTTCTGGGTGCTTAACTATGCTGAGGGTTAGTACATCAATAGCTTTATGAATTAGGATGTTAGTATATATTTATACCACATCAAGACTAACAAAAAGATCCTTCTCTTTAATACTCTGTTCATATATTAATCCAGAAAATTCATATAAATTCTTCACTGAAAATTTCCAATATTCAGCCACTTTCCTTAATTGTCTACATAAGAAACATGAAATCCTATCCATCGCCTGCACAGAGAAAGCTAACCCATTTTGCAGATTGGGTTGCTACAAAATAATGTGTTCATATGATCGCTTTTATGCTGGAGCGACTTGTCGTCCCATTCGACAAAGGGTGGCTGAGCACAAAAGCGCCTGCAAAGGCTGTTTCGTTCACAAATCGGAGCTGGCTGAGCACAGGCCAGAAACGGGACACGAGATTGAATGGCCTCAAACTTCTCGCTTCGCTGATTATGGCATGCCTGCAGCTAAACAAAAAAAATGAGAAAAGCCATCGAAATAAACCGAATATGAATTACAATGAATGTAAGGAATACTGGCAAAAAGATAAGTAAAACTAACTTGCGCTTAATTAATAGACTCAAGGATAGAAAGGATGTTTAGCCGCCTGAAAAAGGGAGGCTACTCAGCTAGTCTTTCATGCCTTGATTCTAATCAAAGTGACTTCTCTGTACTTTTAGCCCACTCTCTCACATGAAGACAAAATAAATTGGATCATCAAAATTACCAGACGTATATTCGACCTTACGCAATCGGTGTGATGGCTATAGCATGTATGTCGAAAGGGGGAGATAGTGGTCATCAGAACTTGATGGTCGAAAACAGTCGTTACTTTTACTGTCCTAATTACTTTGAGCCATCACTGCTGGTTTTATACATAAGCGAATACAAACAGGCAAATACACATTCAGAGACAGGCACACTCACAGACTTCGAGGCTGACATATGACCTTAGCTAATCAAATCACTTTATACTTGATCAAAGAGGCTAGATATCGA